CCAGAGTTCATGACAGAGTTCTTATTCCCTTCTTAAATTATATTGTAATTGGTTATTGAGGACGAGCTAAGTGTAGCTTCCTCGGGTTGGGTAACGTGTGTTGTGAGAGCTTTGTTGTAAAGCTGAGAGACTCTCTACCCGCAAGGTAGAGAAGCATAACTCTTCCTAGAGAGGATAGAGTTGGGGTGGCTCAAGGGTAGACTAGGAGAGTTTCCCTTGTAATCATTCAAAGGCTTTTTAGTGAAGTTGTTAAAATTCGTCCGAGGGAGGTCGAGGTTTTTTAATCCCTTTGAGACAAGGATTTTTTTCCTCGTTAAATCCTTGTGCACTTTACTATTTCCCAATTCCCCTTACCCCACACTATAACTTGGCAAAAAACTGGCACGGTTCCACACACACAATTCACCCCCCCCCCCCCCTTTGTGTTGGTAACCGTTTCATCAACATCCTTTCATGATGATAGACCATAATTGGTTTTTCCGTTGAAATTCATGTTCGTGTTAACAACATTGTCAAAAACATTTTTTTCAATATGCATGACATCCAAATTATGCCTTATGAGAAGATCTTTCGAATATGACAATTCCCAAAATATACTTCTTTCGTCCATTTATGATGGGTCAAGTAACCCTCTGGATACTCGAGTGGTTCATCCATGGCAGAAGAGATGTTTCGAACACGATCATAAATATCACATCCTGTCAGCCTCGGAGACAGAGGATTACGCTCAATGCGACCCTTGATGAATGAATTTTTATCCTTTCTATATGAATGTTTCGGTGGGAGAAACTGTCGGTCACAATCAAAGTAAGACGGTTTACAGTTTTCAGTCAAAATACATTTGACTTCTCCATACAAATAGGACATCCCATGAGACCCGCAGTGCTTCATCCCGAAAGTGTTCCATGTGCCAGGAAGTCACTGAGAAATATCAATTACTCACTTTCTCTCTTTAGCTCTCACTTCTCTCTAAGATTAATACTATATCATGAAGTTTTGCAATATATAAGAAGCTTGGCATGATATAGTGTTGGGGTTAATTTGGTAAAGAAAACATACTGCATGTGGAACTACAGATCTCATATATATTGTGATATTCATTGCTCTCCCACAACCATCCTTTATATATTTTGAGAAAAGTATCTTTTGTTTCATTTTAGAGACGAAAATACATTCTTAATATATTCCGTAATAAATTTTGCCATTTTGCAGTTTTATATTCTGATTGATCGTTTCATATGTCGTCTAAAAAAGATCAAGGGGATACTTTATTTAGTCGATCAAATGAAACAATTGAAATTTTTATTAACATACTCCGTATGTTTTTAGCTCATTTCTAAAAATAGGAGAGGAAAACAATTTAGTGGAAGGAGAGACAAGCTTTATTTCAGGAGGTAACTATATAACATATGCAGGGGCGTATCCAGGGTGGGGGCAGGGGGCAGCTGCCCCCACTCAACCCCACCCAACCCTTATATATATATCCAATTTAAAGTTGTATATATATTTTCTTTCTGAATAAAGAGGTCTTATACAATAAATACGAGATATTTGACAAAACGCGCTCGTTGTCTAGTAGAATTAGTTGCAGGGTAAGTGGTGTGTCTAAGATGAGGTCCGGAGTTCTCGATTCCTTTTGACAAGAGTTATTTTTTTAATTCTTTTGCCAGAAGCCTTAAGCAAATTCTAAATGGTTTTATGTTCTTTTACTTTTTTCTTCTTGGAAAGATCTAAACTACATCAATATAGTTACAATTCTAGTTTCACACTTTCACCTATGAACCCATTTTGTACATAATATAAACTACTTTTTTAATATACTTGTGAATTTTAAATTTAAATTAATTCTAACTAGATGCTCCTCCTTCCCTTAGTTGACTCATCTATATACTAGCATAATTTTGCGCAAATTACAGATTCATTGTGATAAAATTATTTCTAACAAAGTAAAATTAAACATGATATCATAATGTTTTTTATAAGAGAATATTTTGTTATTTATAATTGGTTTTACAATATTTTTCTTAATCTGATTAGTCTGATTTTTTTTGTAATTTTTTTTCTTAATCTAAGGTTAAATTTTCCCCCGCTGGCGTATTTTTCTGGATACGCCACTGAGCATATGCAATCAAAATTGATAAAACATAAATTTCATATTCAATAAACTCCTTCTCTAGAGATGGATTTGTTGTAGTTTAAAATGTGTAAAGAATAGTTATCATAATTATTATTGTATGCTACTACACCCGTCCTGGTTTAAGCTTCTCATTGAAAAATGATCTGAGTATTTAGATACTAACTAAATAAGGTAATTCGAGTATGTTTTCAGATATATTTTTGATGATTATATAATATAATAAGGTCATGGATGATAATTGTGATGTTATAAGTGTATTATTTTTAATATTTAAAGATTAAAATTTTCATTTAAGGTTGTTAATTATTTCCTAAAATAGATAAGGAAGTTTTAGTGGGGATGTCCAGAAAATGCAAGTGTGAGATTTAAGCTGAGAAAACTTGGTTATTTTTTACTTAAGTGGTCATTGATATTAAGTTTTTGCATACAAATAATATGAAAGACAAGTACATATGGTCTTTGCTAAAATTGTTGTTACAAAAGTATAAAACTTATTATTTTTATAGAATATATTACTCCAAAGCAATGGTCAAAGTTTACAAACATCGGCCAAGAAAGTCAAAGATGAAAGAGTTTTAAGAGATGGATGAAGTTGATCTGTTTATGAAATCTGGGGTAATAATTATTTAGAGATAAGTTGGAGCAAATTAAATCTAGAATGCGAGAGTTGTATAATAAATTTGGCAGAGTAACTCTACCATGAGAAATTTGATCCCTTTTGGCCTTTCCCAAAGGGAAAGGTGGCTATTTTTAAGGAAAAGTACAAGGTTCGAGTTTTAAGCTCTGATGTCACACACCCAAATGAGAGTCACACTAGACCGGCCCATTGAATACTTATTAGGAGGGATCACGTTCACTGATGTTATATTGACATGGGGTGACGTTAGCTCTGGAAACTGCCCTGGAATGTCACTAATGGTGTAAGCCCTTCAGGGTTTGGGTGTGTGACATCAACGGCATCGGCTGTGATATAAGCCCTTGACATGTGCATGTTTGGAATGCCTGGAAAATGGCTAAGTACGAAACAATAACCGACACGGAGCTGATCGAGTCTGTTCAGCCTCATCTGGAAGCGTCAAATGCGAAATCTTTACTGATAACTATGAGGCTCGATCTCGCCCAAAGCGGAATGAGGCCGCCATCGCAAAGCTAGGCTTATAATAAGGACTCGGCCTCAATGCAGGCCTCGGCCCGTTGGGTAAATAACATGAGCATCTTAGACGATCTTATATACCCCTAGGTATATGACAATATACTCCATCATAAGTACTCCTTACGTCCCATTTTACCTAGGCATGGACCGGAACCGGGTCGGGATTTGGGCGGGACTGGGGTTTTGGGATGAAGGCCCGGTACCGGGACCTGGCCAGGCCCGGGTCGGGTCTAGTTTTTTTTTTAAATTGGTTTTTCTTATTTATTCCTACCTTCTCCTCCCTACCCCACCCCACCCAAACCCCCCCAAACCACCTAGCCCCACCCGCCTAGCAGCCAATCAATGCGAAAAAGGGGCCCGTACTGATCCCGAACTGGCCGGGCCGGTCCACCAAATAAGCATCCCGTAGCCCGCCCTTAAAACCCCAGTTTAGGCCTCCAGTCCCGGTCAGCTGGGCCGGGTACTGGGTCGGGCCGAACCAGCCTAGCCCATCCCTAACTTTGCATGTCTCACTTTTCTTTTTGGATTGTCCCAAAATCAATGTCGCATTTTCCTTTTTGGAAAGAAATATGTGGTTCACAACATTTCACTTTATTATACTCAAATCTCAACCACAACTTTTATCGTTTCAACCACTTTATTAAAAATTGTGTCAAAACCAAATGAAACACATAAAATGGGACGGAGGTAGTACTAATTAGTGTATCTCTTAATTACAATCAACATATTTGTGTTTTTAAAACAATCTTATATAAAAGCTACTTCCTTCGTATTTAAAAGATAACTACATTAGGTCTTGACACAATATTTAAGGGAAAAATAGTAGGGGTAATGAATAGTGTAGAAAAAGTTGGAGAAAGAGTGAAAAGTAAGAATACGAAGATAAGAAGTAGGGAAAATTAAGGTGATTAATTATTTTTAAAGAAAAAGCTTACCAAAAAGAGAAAGTGTAGCAAACTTTTAAATACATCCATAGAAAAGTTTAACAAATTTTAAATACGGAGAGTATATACACATTACTCATCAATTAAATTGTTTTATGCACAAATTGAGAGTGTATACACATTACTCATCAATTAAATTGTTTTATGCACAAATTTAATCTATTCGTTATTGTACAACGTATGAGTCGGTTAACTACTATTTATAAAAGGCACAAAAAATTCTATTAATGCTTAGGACTCAAATCCAAATATTACAGATATTGATAATTAAAGGGAAAAAGGTTAGATAGGCCCTCAAACTTACAAGAAGAGGTAAAATAAGTCCTTATATAGAAGACTCTGTCTGGTCGTCACCATTTGGGGCAATTCCCGGTGAAATATTTTTATGATTTTTTTGAGCATCTTATTCATTAAGTCTAGTTTACTCATACCAAATTTTGGCTAAAATTTCAATCGGAAAGGCATTCAAATGAATTCTTGAAGATAACTGCGCTTTTAACTGCGCAATTATCTTCAAGAATTCATTTTAATGCCTTCCCGATCGAAGTTTTAGCTGAAATTTGGTATTAGTAAACTAGACTTAATGAATAAGATGAGAAAAAAAATTCATCAAAAAATTCCACCAGGAACCGCTCCCAATGGCGACGGCCGGACAGAACCTTCTATATAAGGGCTTATTTGACCTTTTTATGTAAGTTTGAGGGCTCATCTAACCATTTTCCCATAATTAAAATAAGAGAATACAAAAACAATAATCGTGACTAATTTTATTAGTAAAATTGCAATTCAATTAATTTGAAGGCAGGGAGTATATATCTCACTTTACTATTTTCTCTACCATTTGTGGGCAGCGCAAATGCCCATGAAATGCTAATCACGTTAGTTAGCCATAACTGTACAGGAGCTAAATAAATGGTTAACGAAGAAAAGAAGAACATGGCGAAACAAAAAAGAAAAGAGCTTGGAGTCTCTTGCATGCTAAACACAGAAGTTGGAGCGGTTCTCGCCGTGATCCGCCACTCCCCAGAGACAAACTCACATTTCTTCTCGCCGGAGGAACGTTATGACACCCATATCTCCCAGTCCCTCAAATCCCTCCGCGCCCTCATCTTCAATCCCCAACAAGAATGGTGCAACCTGGATCCCTCCTTGTACCTATTGCCGTTTCTCGACGTCATCCAAAGCGGCGACGTCCCCGCCACTGCCACCGGGGTAGCGCTCTCCTCTGTCTTCAAGATTCTCAAACTTGAAATCTTTGACCATAGAACCCCTGGCGCTAGAGAAGCTATAAATTCGGCCGTCGCTGCCGTCACGAGCTGCCGGCTGGAGAAGACCGATCCAGCTTCAGTAGATGCAATCATGATGAAGATATTGCAGGTCTAAGAGATCTTTGTAAGATTAAAAGATTAACATATTCATTTCGTCGTTGTTTTTATTAGAGTATTATTCAACGAGGCCATTATGGCATTATGAGTGAGTTTGCGATCATATAAACATATTCATGTCATACTCCCAGGTTCATTATGACTAAGTAGTAATTTATTTAACTTTGTTTGCACATTGGTTGATATCTCTCAGGTGCTAGGAGCAATAATGGCTCACCCGGCATCCATATGGCTAACGGATCAAGCGGTATGCACTGTTGTGAACTCGTGCTTTCAGGTGGTGCAACAATCGGCAGGTCGAGGCGGGGATTTGCTCCAACGCAGCGCCAGATTCACAATGCACGAGCTCATCTACACAGTCTACTCCCGTCTCCCGGAAGTGGAGCCCTCGGAGTGGGAAAACTCTGAGTCCGACTCAGAGGACACTGTCATGGATGACTCGGGTGGGTACGGGATCAGAGCGGCTGTCGACATCTTCCATTTCCTCTGCTCCCTACTGAATGTGATGGAAGGGATGGAGCCAGACGGGGTGCCTTACCAAACACCAGACGAGAGCATTCAGCTCTTCTCGCTCCTTTTGATCAATTCAGCAATCGAGTTGAGCGGTGATAGCATCGGGATGCACCCGAAGATGATGCGGATGATCCAAGATGACCTATTTCACCATTTGGTTCATTACGGCTCCTGCTCGAAGCCACTCGTTTTATCCATGATTTGCAGCATCGTTTTGAATCTCTATCACTTCCTTCCTAGGTGAGTGGGTTGCCGCATTTTAGGATGCTTATTGTCTTCAATACAATAACTTAGGAAAATGTTTTCCATAGTAAAGCTTCTTCAAAAAGTGCCTCCCCGCTGGAAACTAGAAGCCATTTCCGACAAAAGTCTATTGATTTCATGACAATCCACTAATCCATTACAAAACAAAACAGCCCACAAGAAAGTCAGAAAACATTACCTTGAAAACTAATTTCCTAGATAAAGGAGCTTTAATCTGTGATATATAATGTCGATATACATTATTACTCCATTCATTTCTCAATCATTTATTGGACTCACTTTCATCATCTAAAAACTGGGCTACGGGAATTTACATTTGATGATAGAAAACAATGTTCAAAAGTTTCTGCTACCAGTGTTTCTTCTTAATTGCATGATTTTTAAATAGATATGATGTTTAATCATTATATACTTAGGTACTTATATTTGTATTTTACTTCCTCTGCCACCTCTTTATAATTTCATTATTTTCTTTTCCGTCCTTCCTTAAACTACCTGTTCTTTCCTTTTCATACGTTTTAATACAACACAAGATAAGAGAATAAAGAACGGTGGTGTACTATTAAGTTTACACTATTAGAGATTTTAGATGGGTTTTTATTAAATATTAGAAATTGAGTATGCATAGGGGAAAAATGTTAATTTTAAATTTGAAGACATAAATGTCATCTATTCAACTACTAACTGTCAATTGCTCAGTTTCATGTTGGTATTAAAATGAATGATATCCTATTGATAGTTCATTATTACTAGTAATATTTGAAGAATTTTTATACTTTTGAATTTAAGAAGAGTTGATCCACGAGTGATTTTTTTTTCTTTGATGGCCAAACGCAGCTTTATTAATTAATGAATCCACTTCTCAGGTCAATGCGCCTTCAACTGGAAGCATTCTTCTCATTTGTGCTGTTTAAAGCGGCGAGCATTGCCAACTCTGTAGCCCTCCAAGAAGTGGCTGTAGAAGGGCTGGTAAATTTTTGCAGGCAGCCCACATTTGTAGTGGAAGCTTATGTGAATTACGATTGCGACCCGACTTTCAGAAATGTGTTTGAGGACACTGGAAAGCTCCTCTGCAAGCATGCATACCCTTCAGGTCCTGCTCTCACTAGTTTGCAACTCCAAGCCTTTGAGGGCCTGATAACCGTCATCCACAACATTGCAGAGAACATTGACAAAGAAGACGATCCCACTCCTTCCGGGCCATATCCGGTTGAGATCATGGAGTGCATACCTTTTTGGGAGGAAGAAAAGGATCTAGGCTTAGTAGATTCCTGGATTAATTCTGTTCGGGTTAGGAAGGCTCAAAAAAGGAAGATATTGATAGCTGGCGATCATTTCAATCGCGATGACAAGAAGGGTTTGGATTACCTGAAATATTCGGGGCTGGTGTCAGATCCACCCGACCCAAAAGCCTATGCTGCATTTTTCCGGTACACCCCGAAACTGGACAAGGTTTTAATTGGAGAGTTTCTAGGAGATCCTGATGACTTCCACCTTAAAGTCCTCAAGGAGTTCACTGACACGTTCGAGTTCACTGGAATGGTTCTGGACAATGCTTTGAGAACCTTCTTGGAATCATTCAGGTTGCCGGGAGAATCACAGAAGATTCAGAGAGTGCTGGAAGCATTTGCCGAGAGGTTTTACGATCAACAATCGTCAGAATTCTTTTACGGGAAAGATGCTGTTCTGGTCCTCTGTTATTCTGTCATCATGCTCAACACTGATCAACATAATCCTCAGGTGAAAAAGAAGATGACAGAGGATGAATTCATAAAGAACAACAGAGCTATCAATGCTGGTCAAGATCTTCCCAGAGAATACCTCTCCGAGCTTTTCCATTCCATTTCAACAAAGGCCATCGTCTTTGAATCTTCCTATTCCATGACTGAAATGAATCCGAACCAATGGGTTCAGCTGATAAACAGATCAAAGAGCATGAATCCATACATAATGTGCGATTTCGACCGTCGTCTGGGAAGAGATCTCTTTGCTTCCATCGCGGGCCCCACAGTGGCCACCTTAGCAGCAATTTTCGAACAGGGCGACGTAGAAGAAGTCCTCCATGAATGCATTGAAGCACTATTCTCCATAGCTAGAATATGTCAGTACGGGTTAGAGGACACACTGGACGAGCTCGTCTGCACTTTCTGCAAATTTACCACACTCTTAAACCCTTATGCATCGTCAGAAGAAACACTGTACACTTTCAGCAATGATATGAAGCCGAGGATGGCCACCCTAGCGGTTTTCACAGTAGCAAACAGTTTCAAGAACTTCATCAGAGGAGGTTGGAGGACCATAGTGGATTGCCTATTGAAACTCAAGAGGCTAAAACTTCTCCCACAATCTGTTTTCGTTGAACCAGAAACCCCCTCCTCTGACAGGTCAAGACATGAGAGGTCCGGTTCAAGAGCGTCCAGTGGTCTAATGGGAAGATTCTCACAGTTTTTATCCATGGAAAATGTGGAAGAGTCTCTGAACCTCGGAGTGAGTGAGTTCGAAAACAACATAAAGATTATCAATCAGTGCCGAATAGGAAACATTTTCAACACAAGTTCATCTCTGCCCGAAGAGACCGTTCAAAGTCTAGGGCGTTCGCTCATTTTTTCTGCAGCGGGAAAAGGCCAGAAATTTAGTACTGCAATTGAGGAGGAAGAAACCGTTGGGTTTTGTTGGGATTTGATCGCCGCCATATCTTCTTCAAACATCCATAGAATTGCCACATTTTGGCCTCATTACCATGAATATTTACTAGATGTTGCACAATTCCCCCTGTTTTCACCAATCCCCTTTGCAGAAAAGGCAATGTTAGCCTTAATGAAGATCTGCCTCAAACTTCTGTCCTCACCCCAAGAAGACAAAGCCCCTGAGGAACTAATCTTCAAGTCCATAAATCTCATGTTGAAATTAGATAAGGAAATCCTAGACACATGCTCAGAGTTCATAGTACAATCAGTAACCACAATCTTAAATGAATACGCAGCAAATTTACAAACACTTATGGGGTGGAAATCCGTCCTACATTTGTTGTCTGTCTCAGGCAGACATCCGGAAATGTATGAGCAGAAAGTCGAGGCAATCATCAATCTGATGTCGGACGGGTCCCACAACATCTCAAGGTCAAACTACCCTTTCTGCATAGAAGCAGCATTTGGATTTGTTGCACTAAAGAACAGTTCCTTGGAAAAGAACCTCAAAATCATGGACTTGATGACAAATACAGTCACTTTGCTGGTAAATTGGAGCAGAAGTGGAGGAAATGGTGATCCAGATAATGATGACAAAGCTATGTCTTCTTCTCCCAACTTCACAACCACTTGTTTCATCAAGCTAGGGGAAGCATTCAGAAAGACAAGCTTATCAAGAAGAGAAGAGATCAGAAACCACTCCATCATATCTCTGCAGAAGAGTTTTGCGTTAGCAGAAGAGCTATGCTTTACCCCGCCCATCATCGTCAGTTGTATTAAGCTTGTTCTGTTCTCTATGGTTGATGACTTGCATGAAAAGATGTTGGAGTATTCGAAGAGGGAGAACGCAGAGAGGGAAACCCGGGGAATGGAAGGGACTCTGAAGCTATCAATGGAGGTGTTGACAGATGTTTACCTGATGTACTTGAAACAAATATCGGAGTGTGCTGATATGAGGGGTTTTTGGATGGGGATCTTGAGGAGAATGGATACATGCATGAAGGCTGATTTGGGAATGTATGGGGAATCAAAATTGGTGGAAACTATCCCGGAACTACTAAAGAAAATGGTTCTCGCGATGAAGGAAAGTCAGATTCTTGTTCAGAAAGAAGATGATGATCTATGGGAGATGACATATATCCAAATCCAATGGATTGCCCCTTCACTCAAGGAAGAACTTTTCCCAGATGATTGATCAGAAATTTTGTAGTTTATTTAGAGAGTTTTTTTTTCCTTTCAAAATCATATCCAGTTTGTTTCAACTTTTGGTTTCATCACCTAATCCTCCAATTATTATACTACTTTCCCACTGTTTGTTAGTAATAATCACTTAATTTAAATCTTCACTTCATTCTCTATGGTTGAAGCCTCTGACATGAGGACATCCTGTGATGGATAATATTCAAAGCCCTAATTTTTTTTTTTGGTATTAGGTGCCCCCCCTCTACCCGATGGTTAAAAATTAAAATCTTTGCATACTTTGGGGTATGCCTCTTTAAAGGGGTTGGCTATATGCCTTAGTTTATGCCCCATACATCTTGTACCTGCTTTTGAACATTAACAAACTTGCTGTTTTCCACACAAAAAACTGAATAAGAGTAAAACAGTTTCTTTCAACTGATCTTGAAAGGAAATGAAAAATTATAACTGTCATATTTTGATGATCATTATTTTATAAATCAAAGAAGGTTCTTATCAAGCTATAATTTGGAGGAATTTTTACACGACAAAAGTACAAAACATGTATGGTTGCAAAAAAACAGCACCTTCAATATTTCATTCTAAACAAAAGGCTGTAAATAGGACTAAAACTTAGATAAAGTGCATAAAAAGGGCTAATTATGTTTTATTCCCAAAAAGGGGCTTCTTTGATCTTATTACAAGTATAAAACTTCCCCAATTAGGAGTGAGTGAATCCTATTTTAGGAAGAAGATAACGGTGATTCTTTTTGTGCACTTTGTGTATGTTTTAGTCCTATTTAAGGAATTTTCTATTCTTTCTATCTTGAAAAAAAGGTATGGACTTTAGAGTGTATCTTCTCATCTAAAAAAGAACGGACAATGAATAAACTAGACTGTATTAATAATAGAACTTATCTCTGCAAACCAGATTGGCATATCGTCTCTTTAACCTCTCCCATTTCTTCTTGTCCTTGTATCCCTACCTCTATCTTTCCTTTTCGGTTGAAGACTGAGAATTTGGCAAAAAGTTAAGCAGACCAAGGGGCACTAATGCTGCCATAAACTGGATTATTATCCCAACAGGAAGGCTTGAGTAATCGCCAGATGTTATCCCAAGAAAAGACGCCAATCCAACACCCAAATACCCACTAACTATTGATGAGAAATAGAAAGCTGATGCTAAGAAAGACAATAGTGACCCTTCACAACCCAATGGTGCTAATCTTGCAAAAAGAATAGAAAATGGCAAAAGCTTGAATGTGGCTATGACCTCTGCAATTCCCGAAAAGCAGAGCACAAAAGCTTCACTGGAAATACCCATTTTGAGATTAATTTGTTTCACGAGCATGAAATCAAGAAGAAGTGAAACAGCATATAGGATTTGAATAATGCTGCTTAATTTTTTTATTGGAGTATCTTTCCATACTCTATCATAGAGGACAGTAATAGAAAGAAGCACCAACTGGCCAGTAACTTTTGACATCCCAATCGTTGAAGGATTAAGATTAAGACACTGGGTTTGGTAGCAGAAGACAGAGCCTGATAGAACCGGGACAATCAAAGTTGATGCCACAAACCACATCAGGGGGTGATATATCCTTTCTTCTCTAATGCAAACCATGAGGTCAAGATATTGTTTTTTGATACTTCTGGCGATTGATTGTTCTCTTATTGTCAAACCAGGCACATATTTTAATGGTTGAGGCAAACCAAGAGTTTTCTCCCTTACCGCCAAAGACAAAACCAATTGGACGGCAAGTAAAGCAGAAAAGAAAAGAAACATGAGTTTAGGTTGCTTTGTTTTCAGTAAGATATATCCTCCTAGTGAGTTTGCAAGAATCCCACCGGCAGCAGATGCCATAAATGCATAAGACTGAAGACCAGGAATTCTGTTTTGCTGACCATATTCTGCCACTAGGGCATCCTTGGCAACTTCTGTAATGGAAGCTCCTAGGTTGCTTAGGAGAACACACGCTATAAGACCAACAAATCCTTCACTTGCAGCTGAAACCAGTGCCAGTTGACCCCAAGCCAATGCCTGGAGGAAAGCTGTGGTAATAAATTGACAAAATCTGAGATGTATATCATCCAATGACCGGTCAAATATCTACCATATAAATAGTAGCAGATGAATAAGTGATTAATTAATAGCAGCAAGACATCAAGTTTTCAGCGCTTTTACAAAATTTCGGTAGTGTGTTACTGGTATATACTAGTCTACTACAACAAGTTTAAAATTCTGCACTGTCTCATCTAATTTCCATATCATCGCTGAATTGGTGACCCTTGCGGCCTGTTTGGAGCCCAGAAAATAGTAGTCCGTGAGGAAAAGAAAATATGGAGTGAATTTTGATGGAAGAAAATTTGGAGGAAAGGGAAAGATACATTCAAACCAATAACATACTTTGGATATTTGTTTAATTAATCATTACTGTCATATAAACCATAGTAAATCATCCATTGCTTTAAAAGCTCAATAAAAATAAAATGACCATGTTCCAATTTTCTTTTCGTTTTTTTCATAAATAAAGCCAAACATAAGAAAATAACTTTCCTTGGTGTTCGTTTTCCCTTCTCTAGCATTTTCAGGATCCAAACATACCCTAAGTACCTCTTAGCATTGAAGTCGCAATAATGATATCAAGAAACCACAACAAAAGATAGAGTGTATAGGACAAAAGAAAACCAATGGCATTAAGCCAACATAAACAGTCAGCTTCCAGCTAAAAAGCAAGTGTTGATCAGTTGATGTTAAAAAAGTAAGTAAACATACCTCCGATTGAAATGTAAGGCAACCTGTGAGCACCACCAATATAAAGAGCATCAGACAAGATCCCATAGAGAGGCTTGGCAACAAAAGGGAGGTTACCAGAGTTCTGCACAAACTGCAATGTTGAAGGGTTCATCTTCATTCCATGAGCCATGTGGAAGTTCAAAGCCAACCATGGGAATAACCTGAACCCTTGAATCCAGTACCCGAATCCACACAAGACCATCATCTCTACCCTGCCACCATTCCTCTCTTCTTTTGTGCTTGCAATTTCGGACTTACAGCACTTGAGAGTTGGGTTCCTGAAGAACTGTTTGTGTTTCTGAGAGCAAGAAATGGAACTGAGATTAACCAAAGAAGGAAACTTTTCTTTATTTAGGACTTTTGAGTTTCTTGAGAATAGAGGGTGTCCATTAGAAACCAGTACAGAAATCATAGCTACTGGGTCTTTTTTACTTTATTCGGTGTTTTCCTCAGTTCAGAGCCAAAACCCCAACCATTTATACACAGAAATTAGAATGGTGACATAATACTATGAAGATGATCGAATGATTCCACTGTTCCGGGAATCTATGCTGATAAGTGGAAAGAAACGTCTGATTTTTGGGTCATCTACTTTGTATTGTAATTCCCAAGGGAGATCTGAACTTCTGAAGGGCCGACATTGCTCATTCTCAGTAAATGAATGCTGATGGTCAAAATACTCATCCAGACAGTCACGGACAAAGAAGTTAACTTGAGTCCATGAGTCGTTCACTCGTTCTTTCGTGTGGCATGTAGCCATAAGCCATGTACCCCTTTATTTTACAAAAAAAAAAAAAACTTCTTTATAAACCCTTTTTATTTACATAGGGAGTACAAATTTTGTTTATGAATTGACTATTCATAAACAAAAAATCATTTATATAAAATGATGTGTACAAAAAGCGTGTGTATAAATAATTTTGTACTTCACACAAATATTTCTGGATGGAGATGTAAAAAGGTGTGTATAAACACAAAAGTCCATTCACTCTTCAACTTAAAGTTTACAGCATATCTTGTACTGATGAAAACTGTCTTGGCTAGATAATGTTTGTGAGTGAGCTAGTGCTTTAAGAGTTCAAGCATTGATTTTTTCTATAATTAAAAATAAACCGAAATAAGGAGTATGTACTTGGGCCTTATAAATATAACTCATTTTGTTAATTCTTGCAAAATGTTTTTAGTTTTGAATCTAAATATAGTACTCCATATTTTATTTTTAGTTTCTAACCAAGTGTGTGTCGTAGATATTAATTTCCTACACAATACATGCATATATGCAAGGTATACATATTGACACATGGGTACACAAATCAATGTTTATGCGTGAGAAAATTGATGTCCACTCACAAATTGCAATTGCTTATGTTAATAGCTTGCATATTTTTTAAGAGTTCTTGACATAAACACAAGTTGTTTACGACATAGCTTCACCGAGAATTGTTTGTATCGTGGCTCGATCCATTGTTACAAAAAGTGCAATTGGACATGTACAAATTTCAATTTCCTTCTAACTTATTGCTCTAGTTTTTATTAACAAATATTCCTTCCACCCCAAATTGAGTTGCAAAGTTGATTTTTAGATCAAATTGATTAACTTCATTCGCTTAATTAGGATATCAATTCTTAATTAAATTTTACTTTTATGTTTGCAACTTTATTGAGATCTTAATGTAATTTTTGAATATGTAAGTTTTAATTATTGAAACTAAAATGAATATCAATAGGATGATTTTTCTTTAACACTTGTATCAAATTTCATTTTTCTTTTCGTAACTATACAAAATTTTTAATGTGGTTTTTAAATAAGTAAATTCTATTTACCAAAATAATTTTATTAATGACATGGATCAATTAAGTTTAACTTTATAATCAGTCAAAATAATTTTATTAAATCGCATAAAAACCTGAGACGGATAAGTAATATATTTACGGTATAACTTTTGTAAGGCATAAGTAAGGGGCGCACTACTGCACTGGGTATGGCAATATGACTTCAGTGCCCAGTTTGTTAATAAATTATTAAATTTTCTATTTGTTTCAATATTTCTCACATTATCCTGGTAAGACTTATCTTTAACTTGGTGAGGACTTGTATACATGGGCAATATAAAAATGAATATCACTTTTAACGGTGTGAACCGTGTGAGAGTAGGAGTGTAGGACAATGAAGATTGAATCCTTTCCTTAAATAATTGTGGTTGGAATCGTTTTTAGATGGGGATTTGTGCTTCATTTTTTAAATTCTATTCTCGTAGCAAGGATCTGACGCCTAAGTGCCTAACACAGTAAGAAATCACCGGAAGAAGACGATTAACAACTCAGACGTTCAAAAGTATTTTTCCACGGGTGAATGGCTTTATGCCTTTATGTCTAATTCTAGAACTTGATCGAATTTGGAGTAGATGTATTATTGTTTGCTTGATTGTTCTAAGCAGTCTAATATAACCAAGCACTCCAGTCTAGCTGGTTGCGAGGTTACCGTGCCTAGTGGGATGTCTCGAGTTCGAATCCCGCTAGGCACACACAAGGGTTTGAAACTCAATTGAGTGAGTTTCAGCCCTGATTACTCCAGGCTCCCCCAGCCCCCTCCCCCAGACCCCCTAGAGTTAAAAAAAACAAAAAAAAAAGCTAAAAAAAAAATAGTCTAATATAAGTATAGATGCCTTTTATACGCCCAAAGGAAATTACTCATTTGATTCATTTGAATAAGCATTTTAATAAGTTACCTAACTTGAGAAAAGAGAGAGCACAAACGCTTCTAATTCAAACTACCAAAGTGACAAAGAAATGCACAAATCGACTAAGGACGATGTTTTCTTCGATTCAACAAAGGTAACACTTTTAAAGCAGGGATACTCTTTTCTGAATCTTTTCTGACCTAATTTTATGTGGCCCGGTTTGTTGTACGGAGTAATACTAGTATAACTAGTATTCCACCCGTGCGTTGCACGGGATGTAATATACATCTATTTTAAAGCATTTACAAAGTTTATCATAACTTCTCGTACGAATGAGAGAAATCATATATATAGTGGTGACTATTAGAACTTAAATAAGCACAAAATTACAAATTGTTGAAGACTTTGTGAACATGTTTTTGTTGTTTTTCATTTTTTTCGTCGCATATCACGAAGTTTTTATCAAATAGATTGTCACCCTTGAACCAGCAACATACAATTGTGCATGCGTAAAAAGAGGACGACGTGAAAATTCCTAAAGGTTTCCCCCAATTGCCACCTTTTTGAAATATTGTTTTGACACCTTTTGAAACTATACTATTTTGTATATTTAAAATTGAACATATATAAAATGTACTCCGTATATGTTATAAGTGGACTATTACAACTTTTTAAGAATGGAGGGAGCATTGATTAAACTCTTCAAAACTAACCTTCCCCTTTGGGTAGTAAGCCAATTAACTAACTAAGAACTTCTAATAAGTTAATAAGTCAATTAATCAATTAAGTTGACTAATATCTTTCATATATGCATCAGAATGCGTCTATAAAAGTTTTTAGACAACTACTCTCAAATTAAATAAATAATGAATAATTAGTAACAACGAAACCTCTACGTTATGTCACCTTTGAAAGTCTTATTTTACTTCGTAACTAAATCAAAGTCTTATTTTACTTCGTAACCAAATGTGCAAATAATCTTGGCCTATAATAACAATAAAATATTGGGTATGTATGTAGTAATGTATATATGTATGTGTGTGTTTGAGTATTTGTGTGCGTGAATTATGTAATATTATTAGTGTTTGATCTAAATTTGAACGCTCACTAATATGTTGAGTTAGTTAATCTATTTATGGTTATTTAGAATTAGATTTCTTTTGGGAGTGTAAAGATAAGTTAAGTATTCTCAAAAGGAAATTTTAAGTAAAACTTTTTCAATTTATTAAGATGTTGTATATAAGTACAATTGTACAAACATAATCCTAAAAAAAACTCCCTAGTTAGTTAGTTCCAAATATCATCCTTATATTTTTATCGCAAAAATTAGGAAAGGAAGTAAATTAGCAATAGAAGCATATATGTGTGTAATATGTGTTTCCCTTTTTAGTGGGTGCTTACAATAAATGATGAAATAAGTCATTAGTATTTGATTATCAATGACATCCCAAAATAGTTTACTTTATACTAACTAAAAAATGGAATAAAATAAAAATAAAGTAACTGTGTACTACAATTAGGGGTGAAAGTAGAAAGTAAGGGGGGTCTTCAAATTAAGGACTTCTATGGACAAAAAAAGGCCACTGCTAAGACTTTTGTTGTTGATGGACCGGCTAAACTTTGATCACTATGGAACAGAATTCTTGCCCAATACACTCCTCTTGTGTCCAGTATAACAATAGTCACCACTTAAACCCTGCTGAAGTTTGATCAAACCATGTAACAATTCCTCCTAGAAACCTGCTCTATAGTGCAAAAAGTCAACTCATAAATCAGCTGCTCTTAGTGCTCTCAGGTTGCAACGTATTCTTTCACAAATACTACGTAGTAAACTATCATACATAACAAATCTTGTAGTTCAATATTCCCAACAGATTAGAGGCAACCCCAAAAATACAACTGAAAAATGACACCAAGAGAAATCAGTCAAATGCCAATAAAAAATAACTCCCTAATAATCAGCAAAACTCTGTTCCACCCGTTAATACTCAGTTTCACAGAATGAGTGTTAATGTCTTTATTGAATAGCAAATGCCAAGTAAACTAATTTCACACACAGTTGCATAAAGTCCATGTAATACATACAAAGAAGTAATTTTCCGGAAGAGTATTGATAATATTATTGATATTCTCTTAGGATGATAATCGTCCTAAACTTTTTCTAAAATTCCAGAATTAACTTTTTCTAAACTTTTTCTAAAATTCCAAAAATATATGCACTCTAAACACATACTTAAAGATCAAATACAGAGATATTTCTCTTGTTATTAACATCTATCTAAGTTAGTGTGTGAATGCCAGAAAGTAAAAACAATGTAAACTCTCTTAGGTATATTGTTTAGAAAAAGAATAAGATATCTACCTCTAACAATCATCCACTTTGGCTGTCAATTTAGTAACAATATGGAAATAAGCAGAACCCAAACCGGCCAGTTCAAAAAGTGTGAATTTATCTGCAAATTCACAATATTTTTGAATTCAATGTAACTGGTTACAAATTCCATCTCATTTGTATGAGGTGAACTAAACAATATATAAAAATTCCATAAAAGAACTGAACCATATTCAATGGTTTATCATGTGCAGTGACATTATTTTTTTTCCATTAAGAGTGTAATGAAAGACTCTGTAACACATAAGCACATTAGGGTATACTCGTTGAAAGTCGATCCACCTTTACCCCAGTTACTTACCTTCATCAGGGTATATTATTTGAGAGAATAGATCAAGGGTATCATGTCATTTGCTTCTTTATTTCTAGAATTAGTAAAAATTTGGTAGGTTTTGGCCAAGTCCCCCTACCTTGTATGTTTACTTTTTAATAAATAGGTAAGGTGTTCCCCATCCCTTGCCCCATCAGCTGATGGTCTCACGCTGGGTTTGAATAAAATGGTAATAAACATTAAAACTCAAACATGAATAAAACGTCAAAAATGGAACTGTAAATGTATATGTAACATAAACCAAAAGAAAACTGAAAACTTATCAGGTTCATTTGAAATGATCCCTTTTTCCCTTTAGCTCACGGTGTTGCCGTGTTGGATGAATTCTAGAGCTTCAATTAAAGAGCCCAATCTAAAAAAAGAAAATAAGAGTCAGAAATCCTATTGAAGATGAATGTGAAATATAAGAAGAATCCTATTGAGCCATTCCTCTTGGCTCAAGTTGACATCGACTTTGGGGGAGTATCATGGACCTACCTGATTTAGTTAGAAGGGGCAAGAATAAGCCGCTTTAGGAATGAAATTCGTGATGATGGAGGATGGAAATGAAGACCATGTAAATAATCTTTTCGTTGAGAATTTCGTTAATGCACGGGTGAACACTTCGGGGTGCTGAAGTATGTGTGTATATTAAATACATTTATATTTATTATTTATAGAATATTTATATAGTAATTTGGGTATTAAATTTCAGGATTTCACAAACACCTATATTATCCATTATAGATCCT